CAGTGGCGGCTCGTCAGGGGAGTCTTTGAGACGGCGACTCCCCACAAAAATAAAAAGTAGGAACGCAATATAAAAGTTTGAAAAAAATTGTATTATAATTTAATATTTTTGTTATATCCATTCTGAAAATAATTATTATGGTTTTCGATATTAATATTGATAATATTTTGTATTCTATTTTTACATTAATAATGAGTGTCATTCAATAACAATTCAATATATAAAATATATCGATAACGACGATAACAATACGGGCTAAATATATCGATAACGACGACTGTCGCTAGTTCGAGAGTCTGCCGTCCGAAAGACTCAATAATATATCGATAACGACGACTGTCGCTAGTTCGAGAGTCTGCCGTCCGAAAGACTCAATATTATGTATACAAATTTCATATGCTCGACAAGGCGGAGGACGGGGATAGATTGTATAGATGTTATTCAGTACGTTGAGACTAGACTCATTCAAAGTTTTTGCCGTGAAACTGCAGCGTGTCGTGCGTCCGTATTATTAAATTTAGCTATTTGACATTGTATAGCAGCGTGTAGTAATTAAATTATTATTATTTATTATTGGTAAAATACAAAACTACACAAGTTACAAGCTTAATTATAATATAATAAATTACACTAGAAATATTTATATTTATTATATTTTCTACTATGGAAATACAGAAAAAAAAAACAGATATACTAGACTTTTTGTTTAAAAATAGTTTTAATACGTTAACATACGAAGAGAAGTGTCAATTAAAATCAAACAGACCGACACCTAACATTGCATTGGAATATAAAGAAGGTAAATTCATTAGAAAATTTCAATATAGTTGGTATACTAAATTTCCATGGCTAACTGGTTGTGATAAGCTAAATAAAGTGTTTTGTTTTTATTGTGTAATTTTTGGGGGAGAAAAAGAATGGACTATCGATGGAATATCGTCAATAAAAAATTTTATAAGAAAATCAGAAAAACATTCTATATCTAAAAAGCATTTGATAAATCAAGAAAAATTCCATCTTTTAGGAAAAGTTCGAATTGAACATGCTATTTCGGTAGGTCGACGATTAGCTGCTATAAAACATAATGAACAAGTTTCTATAAATAGACGTTTAATAGCACGTATGATCCACGTTGTTTGTTTTTTGGGAAAACAAGAGCTTGCCTTTCGTGGGCATCGGGAACACGACGAATCTTTAAATAAAGGGAATTATCTTGAGTTACTTGATCTACTCGCTCAAGAAGAGCATTTACTTAAGGATCATTTTTTGTCATCGTCAATATTTAAAGGCACATCTAAGATAATACAAAATGATTTAATTGAGAGTGTCACTACAGTTTTAAATTCAAAAATTTTTAAGGAAATACAAACTGCTAATTATATATCTATTCAAGCAGATGAAACCACTGATGTGTCCTGTAGATCTCAAATGAGTATTATTTTTCGTTATGTTATAGAAGAAAAAATTGTCGAACGATTTATTGGTTTTTTTGATGTTTCAAGTGATAAAACGGGATCTGGATTAGCAGATGTAATATTGTCCGTGATTAAAAAATGGGATTTAGGAAATAAAATAATTGCACAGACATACGATGGAGCATCAGTTATGTCTGGAACAAAAAATGGCGTACAAAGTCTTATTAAGAATATTTATCCAAATGTATTATTTATTCATTGCTATGCTCATCAGTTGAACTTGGTATTGTTATATGGCGCTAAGACAATAAAACCTGTGAAACTTTTTATTTGTAATTTAACGATGTTTCATACGTTTTTTAGTAGGTCTTCTAAAAGGAGTGAGTTACTAAGACAACAGGGCTTTAAACTTCCAAATCATTCTGATACTAGGTGGAATTATCATTCAAGAGCTGCTTCCACAATTAAAACCCATTTTATAGAATTAAAAAATGCTTTTACACATGTAATTGAAGAACCAAACTGGGACCATATTTCTATTTCTACAGCATCAGGTATTTTAGATAAACTTAATGATGCACAATTTGTGTATCTGTTTATTTTGTTTAATAAGATTTTCATATATACGGACCATGTATTTAATTTCCTCCAATCAAAAATACTTTCAAACATTAAATCGTGTATTTCTGAAATTCAGAATTTAAAAAAAAATTTGGAAGATTTAAGAAAAGAACAAACTGTGAATACTTGTTGTGACGAAGCAATACAATTAAATAATGATTTTGAGTATGGTGACAAACAAAAAAATAATTTACGTAAAATAACATATGAGATACTGGATTCATTAATTGTTCAAATTAATATAAGATTTGAAGATACTTCGGAATTAGAATTCGTAGAGCTTACAAATGAAAAAATGTTTGATATCTACCACAACACTTTTCCCGAATGCAAGTTGATTAAGTTATTAAAACAATACCCTAATATTTTTGAAGAAAATCGTTTGCGTAATGAATTGTCCGTCATTTATTCAGATAAAAATAAACATCTCCCTCCTCATAAACTACTTGATTTAATAATAAAAAATAATTTACAAGAAATTTATTCCCAGTTCACTAAACTATGTCAATTAGTTTTAACAATACCGGCCACTACTGCATCTAGTGAACGTTCTATGAGTACGTTAAAGCGTATAAAGAGCTTTTTAAGAAATACAATGACAAACGAGCGACTTACAAATTTATCATCATTGGCAATTGAAAAAAATTTACTGGGCGTTATGGCAAAGGACCCGACATTTGTGGAAAGTATTATTGATGATTTTGCGAAGAAAAAAGAAAGAAGAATTGAATTAGAATATAAAATAATATAAATTATCTATTCTTATAATTTTTATAAAGCTATCAATTGTAATAATAAAAAAAGGTTTTTTTTATATTATTTGTATTCATTTTTTTTTTTTATTAAGTTTTCAGTCTCCCCAATGAATTTACTTGCGAGCCGCCACTGCTATTTTATAGTTTAAAATATTACAGTCGTTATCTTGCTCATAATTTCCGGTCCGTCCCTGAATTCCATATTTTTGTATTTTTATCACATATAAATCCGTCCCCTAGTTATCACTAATAAAGTCTAAAGATCTTGTAATAGTTATTT